AAGACATCAAGGCAATAAAAGGAAGTGTAGAGGAGATATACTAGGGTGATCGTAGGAACGAGTGGTTTGGCCTATGTGCAGAGACTGGAGGAACTAGGACTCTCCATTCTAATCAAGAAGGTTGAGGGGTGACCTGATAGAGATCTTTAAAATTACAAGGGGTTTGATAGAATCAATAGGGAGTAATTATTTCCACTGGTTGTTGAGTGGTAACTAGAGGGCGTAAATTTAAGATAGTTAGCAAACCAGCAAATGGGTATGTAAGGAGAATTTGTTTGCGGGCACGAGTGGTTAGGATATGTCGGGAGTGAGGCTTGAGACAGAATCCATATTGGCCTTCAAGCAGGAATAGGCCAATATAAAGATATTACAAAGGTAAGAGTTAGCCTCAGGGGTATGGTGGAAGAGTAGGTAAATGAGACTGAAAGGACTGCTTTTAAGGGAGCCGGCACAGACGCAGTGGGCCTAATGGCCTTTTTCTGTGCCATAAATTTCTATGGTTGCATGAAAATTGTGCATTGCTGCAATTTGTTTTTACGAAGAAAACAGCTGATAGACAAATGGGTCTATTGGGTGCAGTTCGTAATTAGTAATTTATAGTCGGTTTTAAATTATCCTAAATAAAATGTCTTGTCTTTCAATTCCGTTTTTTTATCAAGTCTTAATGATAATTATGAATAATAATTCTTTGCATTTGATATTGTCGAGACATCTCAAAGCCTGTCACAGAATATACTGTAAAGTAGAGCAATTGTATTTGTGCCAGTTGTAATAATTTTTCTATTTTCCTCAAAACTGGAATAAAAATACATTTTCTTCCATTTTATTATTTAACAGATTGTCTTGAAGATTACAAAATTGGACATACCTCACAGTGTAAAATGTGAGAACGGCTATGTATCCATTCTTGATGGTTCCCCAACACCTCCCATCATAACAGGAAAATTCTGTGGCGAGATGCCAGCTACAGTAGAATTCATCTCTTCCGGCCGTGCAGTGTTGGTGGAGTATTTTCATAGGAGCCCAAGTCAGAAGTATGGTTTTGGAGTTTCCTATAGAACTATTGTGAGTAAGTGTTCAAGTGTTCACACCAACAAAAATCTTTATTGTTGTTGCGACCCAGTTGATTCTGATATTTTTCATTGTCAAGTACGGAATTTTAAAAAAAATAAGGAAAACATTGCCTCCTTCAGTGGAGAGAATGTGTATTCTTTTGCAGACTCGGAACTTTCCATGTGTAGGTGGTGCACATACTATTGGCCTGATTTGAATATTCTTAAGCATGGTGATTAGTTACTTAAAGTTACAAAGAGTGGTACGATATGGAAACAAGACATTCACACCGACTGGTGCACGCTGGTCCACACCTCCTATTCCCTTCAATAATGCATCACATTTTCGCTTTAATGCACTTTGCTTCAATCACATTCTCACCATCATGTGTAAAGAAATTCCTCTCAAATTCTCTTAGATCTACTACTAGCTATCATTTATATCCTCTAGTTTTGGACTCACAAACAAGTGGAAACAGCCTATCATAATCCCCCCTTTAGCAAATTGTTTCATAATCCTAACAACTTCTATCGGATCCCCTCTATTGTGTCAACTCTAAAGAGAAAATCTCACATCTGTCCAATTTTTCTTGATACTTGTATCCTCTCATCCCTGGTAACATCCTTGTAAATATATCCTGTACTCTCTCTAATGCTATGGCATGGCTGACAAAAAAACAAAATCTGACATTAGGCACCAGAATAAAGTAATTTTGATGATACTTAGAATAACATTAATTTATTGCCATAGCATGAAGGATTGTGAAGAGAAGTAACATTTACAACATCTAGTATTTATATAATGCCCTTCATATTGGTAGCATGTCAGAGCACCTAACAGCGGAGTAGTTTGACACTGAGCTGGAAAAGGATGGGAGGTGACTGAAGGCTTGGTCAAAGAGGAAAGTCTTCAACTGATTTGAAGATGGACAAAGACAGAGAAACTGAGAGAAGGAATCACAGAGATTAGGGGCTGAAGGTTGTGGCTGAGAAAAGCAGCATTTTCTAAAACCATCTTGAAACTTCACAGAGGGCTGTTATGATCGTGGAGTCCTGTAGCTTAGTGGTTGGAGTAAGCAAGCGAGAGGACCTAGGTTCGATTTCTAGGCAGGTTGAAATGTTGGGCATGTTTCCTTACTCCACACGGCTCTGTTTACCTAGCAGTAATTAGGAAGCTGGTTGTTAGTCAATTGGCGGATTGCTTTTTCAAGGGTAATAGTACCTGAAAAAGCAACAATATTGGTCACTCGATCCACTACTGTTTGTGGGGAAACTGCTGTGAGTAATTGGCTGCTGTGCTTCACTCAAAAAAATACAGTCAATTCACTATATTTAAATATATTCTGTGAAGCGTATTGCGATGTCTCGAAGACGTGATAATAATAATAATAATCCTTGCATGCAATATAGCACCTTATCGTGTTGTCAAGAAGTCTCAAAACTAAGGGGCTATATCAAATGCAAGGATTATTATCTATTATATGGGTCCCAGACACACCTGTTCTCTCTTTTCTCACAATTTCCCCCCCTTTGTTTTGCATTATTAACACCTCTTTAGCCCAACATCCCCTGTCCTCGACCCCATTTTCTCCTTTGTCTTTCTTGGTCTTTCTGTCAGCTCTTAAAAGCCTTTCCCTCCCAACATGCTCCAGTTCTGATGAAGGGTCGTGGACCTGAAATGTTGACTCGCTTTCCTTTCTCCGTAGATGCTGCCTGACCTGCTGAGTGTTCTCAGCGACTTCTATTTTTGCAAGGATTATTATAGTTAGAATATATGATTATTGTTGAAAATAATATTAAGTGATTTAAGTTCTGATAAAACAGATGTTTTATTTTTCAATGTTTACAGATCCTAATCCTTTTCGTGTTACGTCACACTCCAGTGAGGAGAGGTTCCAAAGTGCTTCCATATTGCTTGTATGCATATTGCTGATTTATTTGTGAACATTATCGTTTCTGAAAGAAAGCTTCTTTACGACTGGACTTTCCTCTGTTTTGGGAGTTTGGAAAGTTTGTCGATCTTTTTAGCAGAGATTAGCTAAAAATGTTAAGTAATATCTGTGTATTTAAATATTGTGTTAGGCATTTCCCCCAAAAAATATACCAATATGTGGTTGCTTATAGAGTTATATATTATAAAATGCATCCCATGTATCAAAGCTTTTTTTTTGTTTTTTGGATGTTTATCTCAGATGCAAAATGTTGTTCCCTTAATTTTCTTTGTATATTTTTGATATTACATTGTTTGGGTGACTCAAGAAGGGAAAAGTTTGTTTTCCTTGAGTTGCTTGAGTTCAAGGAGTTAACTTTCTGGAATAAATTCAACAAGCCTCTTCATTGGGGGTGAATCAGGCCCTGTGGCTTTAATCACCATACATGTGTCACTACATATAAACTTTGTATTTTCTCATTATTAAATAAAAAAAGTTAATGTAAATATTTTTGGTCATCGGAGTGTCCTGTCAGTCGGAAAATGTTGCATCTTAATTATCTGAAAGTATTAAGCACAAGTTGGCAAGAGCCAAGCCCTGGGGACTCCAGAGTGCATTTTGGGATATAACCGGTAAATAATACATAGCTTGCCATTGCTATTTCTGTCTGGTGAGTTTCCCACTGCTTGTTCTGCTGGAGCCACGATACCCATTATGCCTTGGTTTGCAACATTAACAACAAATTTACATTTATATATAATGCCTTTCACATCAGGAGAACCTCGCAAGGCACTGAATGGGAAGAATCTGTCTCTTGTGACTGGTATGCCCCTTACTCAGTCTGCTGACCATCCACTCTGGCTGGTTTGTCATCAATAGTGCTTTGGAATTCTATGGACCAACTTGGCTTGGGAACTGGACTACTGAGAATGCCAAAGAGGATTGACTTGATTCTGATATTTTTCATTATGGTGTGTTACCTTGGATCAAGTCCCAGAGAACCCTGCTTACCTCCCCTCCTAGCTGATTAATCACTAGAATTCTTCAGCAAGAGAGATACCAGAGTGCAAGAGAGAACTCTCATTCAGCAGAAGAGTGGGAAATTATTCTTGAGGTAGAGGCAACCTTATATATAAGCAGATAAGCAAGTCAATTAGCAGTTAATCATAGGCTAGGTGTTGGGGATTAATAAATTTGCTGACCACTCAAGACTGGGTGCTTTTGTTTGAGTCCTATATAAAGAAGACTTGCGAGAGGTTCACTTGAGGAGAGAGCCTAGCAGTGTGAGGAAGGAACTGAGGAGGTGGAACAGAGTGAGAAATCTGTGAAGGAATTTGGTGAGAGTGGGAATTTGGTGCAGAGGGGAAGGAGGTGCATAATTATAAAACATATAATTGTTAAATTAAAATAAAATAAAACATCTGACGAAGGATCGTGGACCCAAAACGTTGACTCACTTTCCTTTCTCCATAGATGCTGCCTACTGCTGAGTGTTCCCAACAACTTCTGTTTTTGTTTTCATAAAATAAAACATGTCTGGAAATATGGCAGGGCACCTGAGACCAGTTGTATCCATTGTGTGCCAGTGTGGGAACTCCAGGATGCTTTGGGTGCCCTAGACAAACAAGTGTGTAGGAAGTGCCTCCGGCTGCTCAAGCTTGAGCTCAGGATTTCTGAGGAGATGCTGGTTTCATTACATAGCATACGGGAGGCTGAAGAGTCCAGGATCGAATATTTCAGGAGTTGGTCACCCTACAGCCACAGAAGGTTCAGGAGAGTGACTGGGTGACCACCCGGCATGGTAGGAAGAGTAGATAGGCAGTGCAGAAACTTGGCCCCTGAGAGTGTGGCACTCACAACCGACACCTCTGGGGAGAGGAGTCAAAAGCAAATGGATGCACAGGGAATACAGGGAAAAGTGTCAATGCAATTGTCATTGGGGGCCCAATAGCAAAAGGAGTAGACAGCCGTTTCTGCCACCAAAGATGTGACTCTCGCATGGTATGTTGCCACCCAGGTGCCAGATATCATGAAACAGATGCAAAATGTTCTACAGGGGGAAGGGGGATATCCAGAAGTCATGGTCCATATTGAGCTTCAAGTTCCTGGACCATTGGGACCAGTTCTGGGGCAGGTTGGACCTGTAGAACGTGGATGAGTTACACCAATGTCCTTGCAGGGAGATTAACTACTGCTGTGGGGAAGGGTTTAAATTAATTTCAGGGGGAGGGAAGGGAATCAGGATGTAGCATTAGAGAGGACAGACAAGTTACATGGAGCGCTGGGAGAGACAAATAGCAATGTAATAGGGAGTAACCCAGAAAAAGGAGTGATTAGACGGAGGAGAAATGCAGTGGAGACTCAGTGGGTCTTGGAGTGTATGGAAAAAAAGGAAGGGGATGGCAATATTGATTAAAGCCACGGTTACGGCCCTGGAAAGGGATGATATGCTAGAGTGTCCAAACACAGAATCTATTTGGTTAGTAGTTAAGGAGCAGAAAAGGAGCTGTTATTCTGTTAGGTAGGTGTGTATTATGGACCACTAAATGATGGGAGGGAGATAGATGAGCAAATCTGCAGCAGATTTCAGAAAGATGCAAAACCAATAGAATAGTGATAATGGAGGATTTCAATTATCCTAACATAGACTGTCAAAATAACAGTGTAAAGGGCAAAGAAGGGGAAGGATTCCTGAAATGTGTGCAGGAGAACTTTCTTGATCAGTACGTTTCCAGCCCAACTAGGAAGAAAGCAGTGCTGGATCTTGTTCTGGGGAATGAAGTGGAGCAGGTTTCAGTAGGAGAGCATCTGGGTAACTGATCACAATGTCGTTAGGTTTAGAGTACTTATGGAAAGGGACAAGGAGCAATCAAAGGTGAAGATACTCAACTGGAAGAGGGCTGATTTCAGTGAGTTAAAAAGGGACCTCGCCAAGGTGGACTGGAAAGAAAGATTGGCAGGTAAAACAGCTAACGAGCAACGGGAAGCCTTCAAGGAGGAGATAGTTCAGGGACAGAACAAATGCATTCGTACAAAGGGGAAAGTTAGGGCATCCAAACCTCCGTGGATGAATAAGGAAATTGAGATTAAAATAAAACAGAAAAAGGAGCTTATGATAAATGTCAGGTCCAAAATACAGAAGATAATCAAATAGAATATAGAAAGTACAGAGAACTGGAAAAGGAAATAAGAGGGGCAAAGAGATTATATGAGAAAAGATTAACAAGTAACATAAAAGGGAAGCCTAAGGTATTTTATAAGCATATAAAGAATAAAAGGTTAGTCAAAGGTAGGGTGGGTCCAATTAGGGACCAAAGTGGAAATCTTGTGGTGGCAGAGGGCATACTGACAACAACAAAATTACATTTGTAGAGCGCCTGTCACATCAGGAGGTCATCCCAAGGCACTGGACAGACAGAGTTTTGGACCTTAGTTGGGGGTCGGGGTGAGGGAGGATGGAGGGCAGGAGGGAAGCAAGGAGATTGAAAGCATGGTTGAAGAGGAGGGTCTTGAGATGAGTCCTGAAGGAGGCAAAGTAGGGGTCAAAGCAGAGGGACAGTAGGGTGGAGTTCCAGAGGATGGGGGCAGAGAGGCTGAAGGCCCGTCTGCCAATATTGGGGCGAGCGTGGTGGGGGACGTGAAGAAGGCCGGAGCCCGCTGAGCGGAGGGAGTGAGCAGGGTGCTGGGAGTTAGGAGGTTGCGGAGGTAGGGGGGATTTTAAAAGAGCTGGGCCAAATGGCTTCCTTCTGTGCTGTATAATCATATGATTCTATGCGTCCCTCCAGGAGTAAAATGTCCATACTGTTCCAACAATCTATCTCTGGGATTTCCATGTGTAGGTGGGATGCATGCAAATCTTAGTTTGGTTTGGTTACTTTTAAGCGCATAGTGATGGGTTTCTGCATGTGTCAGACACCCGGTTGACCAATTTCTTTTTACTCCTATGTTCTCGAAGTATCTCGCCTCACAAGCAAGAGTCCTGGGTTTGATTCCCAAGCAGGGCGAAATGTTGGGCAGTTTCCTTACTCAACATGCCACTGTTTACCTAGCACTAAGTGGGAACCCAGTTGTTAGTTGATTAGCAGATGGCTTTTCTGGGGATAATAATTCCTTCAAAAGAAATAATAAATTAGTCACTCAATCCATGACTGTTTGTGGGGGACACTGACTGTTTGGCTGCAGTGTTTTGCCCACAAAATATATAATCAATTCACTTTACAGTATATTCTGTGAAGCGCTTTGAGATGTCTTGAAGATGTGATAAAAAGCTATCAAATGCAATGATTATTATATCTATTTCTAGGGTGTTGAGCGATAGGTTAGTGTAGACTGGGGATGTACTTGCCACATCTCCTTAAACCATAAATTCAGAACAGTGGGGGGAGGAGCGGTGGGTAAATTCAGAACGAATCTACGCAAACACTATTTCAGTGAGTGAATAGTTAACCTGTGGAACAGTTGAAACAAGAAGTGTTCATACAAACACAGATGAGACAGTTTTCTTTTAGGACATAACATTATGGGATGTGGTACATAGGGAGTTTGGGACATATGTGCAGGCGACCGCCAGGAAGGTGGAAGGCGTACTAGATGGACCTTGGCCCTTCTTCGTCCAGCATTTCTTATGTTATAAATCCACCTTAGTTAAGGAGCTCTGAATCATGGAGAGGAACTATCTCGATACACGTCTTGAATGCCACAAGGTTAACCTGCATTGAGCCTATTTTTTCTCTTTTTGTCTCGTCTTAGTCTTTATTTTCTTGAGCCGTTTCTATCATTGAAGAGCTGGAAATGACCCGTGTGGCTCCACCCCTAAATATTAGAATTAAAACGTTCCTACACGTACACGTTCACCTCTACTGTAAACTCCTGTGAAGTGTTTTGAGACGTTTAGACAACGTGTTTATATTGCGCCCTTCACAGAGCGTTGCGTATCAAGAGAGTTGATGAGGCACTGTACTAAAAAACATGTGATCACTCAATCCCCGACTGTGTGTGGGACACCGCTGTGCGCTGTTGGCTGCCGTGTTTCGCCCACAACATAGACACTTCACAGTATATTCTGCGAAGCGCTTTGGGACGTCTCAAAGACATCATAAGGCGCCAAATCCAATGCTGTTATTATTGTATATTATATAATCACATACAAGAAATATTATTACTTTTACAAATGAGTTGCAGTGTGAATCCGAGTCCCGCAAGAGTTCGTAGCTGAGGAATCAGCGGGAAAGGTCAAACGGCTGTACCGCCGGCTCTGGAGGGGCAGACGCTCTCCGGGACCTGGTGTCCAGTGGCCGGAGTCTGGCCATGGCCTCAGGGCTCTGGACACAGGGCACCGGCACGTGGGACACTCACCGCACCGCGTGGCTCACCCGCGCCGCTGGTCACATGGTCTCCGCCAATCACATGGTGGTCGCCCCGCCCACCGCAGCGCCGATTGGCTGAGTGGGGCGCGGGGGGCGGGGTCAGGGCGGCGGTTGGGCGCGTGCTGCAAACGGCGGTTTCAGTGAGGAGAAAAGGGCGGCAAAGAGCGAGGGGGGGAGTGAGAGAGGGAGTGAGGGAGGGAGAGGGAAAGAGTGAGAGAGAGAGAAAGGGAGGGAGGGAGAGAGTGATAGTGAGGGAGATAGTGAGGGAGAGAGAGCGTGAGAGAGGGAGAGAGTGAGAGGGAGATAGTGAGGGAGAGAGAGCGTGAGAGAGGGAGAGAGGGAGAGAGTGAGGGAGAGAGTGAGGGAGAGAGAGAGGGAGATAGTGAGGGAGAGAGTGAGGGAGATAGAGAGGGAGATAGTGAGGGAGAGAGAGAGGGAGATAGTGAGGGAGAGAGAGTGAGATAGAGAGGGAGATAGTGAGGGAGAGAGAGAGGGAGATAGAGAGGGAGATAGTGAGGGAGAGAGAGAGGGAGATAGTGAGGGAGAGAGAGTGAGATAGAGAGGGAGATAGTGAGGGAGAGAGAGAGGGAGATAGAGAGGGAGATAGTGAGGGAGAGAGAGCGTGATTGAGGGAGAGAGTGAGAGGGAGAGAGAGAGGGAGATAGTGAGGGAGAGAGAGAGGGAGATAGTGAGGGAGAGAGAGGGAGATAGTGAGGGAGAGAGAGGGAGATAGTGAGGGAGAGAGAGGGAGATAGTGAGGGAGGGAGAGAGAGGGAGAGAAAGGGAGGGAGGGCGTGAGAGAGAGGGAGAGGGAGGGAGGGAGAGAGTGATAGTGAGGGAGATAGTGAGGGAGAGAGAGCGTGAGAGAGGGAGAGAGTGAGAGGGAGATAGTGAGGGAGAGAGAGAGGGAGATAGTGAGGGAGAGAGTGAGGGAGATAGTGAGGGAGAGAGAGGGAGATAGAGAGGGAGATAGTGAGGGAGAGAGAGAGGGAGATAGTGAGGGAGAGAGAGTGAGATAGAGAGGGAGATAGTGAGGGAGAGAGAGCGTGAGAGAGGGAGAGAGTGAGAGGGAGAGAGAGAGGGAGATAGTGAGGGAGAGAGAGAGGGAGATAGTGAGGGAGAGAGAGGGAGATAGTGAGGGAGAGAGAGGGAGATAGTGAGGGAGAGAGAGGGAGATAGTGAGGGAGGGAGAGGGAGATAGTGAGGGAGAGAGAGGGAGATAGTGAGGGAGAGAGAGGGAGATAGTGAGGGAGGGAGAGGGAGATAGTGAGGGAGGGAGAGAGGGAGATAGTGAGGGAGAGAGAGGGAGATAGTGAGGGAGGGAGAGAGGGAGATAGTGAGGGAGAGAGAGAGGGAGATAGTGAGGGAGAGAGAGAGGGAGATAGTGAGGGAGAGAGAGAGGGAGATTGTGAGAGATTTGAGGGAGAGTGAAAAATAGATAGCGATAGAGAGAGAGAGAGAGAGATAGCGAGGGAGAGAGATATAGAGAGCGAGAGATAGTGAGTGAGGGAAAGAGATAGTGAGAGGGAGAGAGATAGTGAAAGAGAGAGGTATCGAGAGAGAGAAAGATAGTGAGAGAGATAGAGTGAGAGAGATAATGAGGGAGTGAGAGATAGTGAGAGTAAGAGATTGTGAGAGATAGTGAGGGGGTGATAGAGATAGTGAGAGAGAGATATAGTGAGAGAGCGAGAGATAGTGAGAGAAATAGTAAGGGAGAGAGATAGTGAGAGAGAGAGATACTGAGGGAGTGAAAGATAGAGAAAGATGAGATAGTGAGAGAGATAGTGAGGGAGCGATATAGTGAGAGAAAGAAGTATAGATGGATAGATAGATAGGTAGGTAGATAGATAGATAGTCGGAGTGAGAGATAGTGAGGGAGTGAGAGAGATAGTGAGGAAGAGAGATAAAGAGAGAGTTAGAGAAATGAGATAGTGAGAGAGAGGGATTGTGAGAGAAAGAGATAGTGAGGGAGTGAAGGGGATAGTGAAAGAGTGAGAGAAAGATAGAAAGTTAGTGAGAGAAAGATAGTCAGAGAAGGCATGAGAGAGAGAAGATAGTGAGAGAAAGACAGAGAAACAGACAGAAAATACAATATCAAAGAGATAAACAGATCGGGAAGGAGGGGCAGATGGAGGAAATAGAGACATTCAGATAAAGGCAAAATAGGAAGAGTTACTGAGTAATAAGGAGATAGAGAGAGATTCAATTAGGAAAGATTGTGACAAAAGAAATATTGAGAGAGGAAAAAGAATAATTGAGGCAGGAAGAGAGACATTAAGATTGAGGGGAGGGATATAAAGCATAAGAACTAAGAAGGTTGAAAACAGGAGGGAAAGAGAAGATTAGAAGAGACAGAAAGGGAAAAGGCTGAGGGAGAGCAATTGAGATGGGCAAAGTATGAAAGCGAGATAGAAGATTAGAGAAGAAACAAAGAAGGTAATTGGAAAGAAGGTAGAAAGTTCTGAAGAATATACCCAAGAAAAAGGAGAGGCAATGACAAGACATTTTGTTGGGTAACAACAAAGTGAGAATACAAGGGATTCAGTCAACTTCAGAAATAGCAAAAAGATAAAGATGTCGTTCAGAAGTTATTACAGCTGATTAAGAGAATAGGACAATGATAGCAATACATGAGCGAGTGAAAATGTTGGCAAAGCAGTCTTATTTAGAAGGGAAGGTGAGTGGGATGAATCTGGAGTTGAATAGGCTCCTGGGCCACATGAGTCAGCTTGACTCAGTTGATATGAGTCTTACCTATTATGTCAATGCCTTCCAGGAGATCGGATTCATCAATTATGAAGAAATCTTACTGGAGCCAAACCAACACATGATTTCTATAGCCCCTCAACAGACCTAGTTCATGTTTTCCTGCTGTCAGATGGTTTGCGTTGGCTTCTCTGAGTTTAGAATACTTCTTTGCAGCATATCTTTTTATTCTTGGTTTAATAGCAGATGCCATCTTTGTAGACCGAGTGCCAGATTGTTTATTAAGTCTTCAACTGAATCTGCTTTACAATACAAATATATATTTATGTTGTGCCTTTCTTGTCAGGAGGATAGCACAAGGCACTTTAAGGTACTTTAGCACTGGTCTCCACAGATTTAGCTAGTGGGCTTATATTGGGGTCAGATGGGTGTCTATGACACAAGAAGAACTCTATGAATACATATATATAATGCCTGTACATGGAAATTCCATGTCTGGAATCGAATGTGCACTCTCATCAGAAAGATCTCATATAATACTGGAGAGTATCAGGAACAGGTTGGCAAAAGACCAGGTTTGAAATTTGTCAGAACATGATGATATTTGTCAGTACCCTGGTACAGTACTTTATTGCCTTTAACCTGTCAGCTCTTTATTCACAATCTGATTGTAATTAAAATCTCTGTCATTTCTTGCAAATGTAATGTTTACCTTGGGAAGGTATTCCATTTCCCTCTATGTTGGTAACAGTGATAAGATTGAGCATAAGTCCTGTGGCTCAGTGGTTAGAGCACTCGCTTTGCAAGCGAGAGACCTGAGTTCAATTCCAGGCAGAGGGCGAAACCTTCGGCAAGTTTCCTTACTCCACACACCTAATAATAATCCCTCCAAAAAAAACAAACCAAAAAAAAAACAATAATAAATTGGTCATTTTCAATCTACGACTGTTTGTGGGACATTGCTGTGCACAATTGGCTGCCGCGTTCGCCCACAAATATACAGTCAATTCACTTTACAGTGTGTTCTGTGAAGCGCTTTGGGACGTCCTCCCGACGTGAAAAAGCGCTATATCAAATGCAAGGATTATTATTATTAAGTCATTTTTCATAGTTTTCTTTCCACTGACCTATTTATATATTTTTAAAAACTTATCATAATTACAAATGAATAACTGAAACTGCAATAACAATGCAAACAACTAACACTAGTATTTTTGAGGTTTCATTTCTTTATATAAGTAACTTTATACTACACTTTACAGTATATTCTGTGAAGTACTTTGAGATATCTCAACGACGTTATATCAAATGCAAGGTTTATTATTATTATAATTGATTTTTTAAAACCGTTCTTTAGATCTGCTTTTCTCCATATTAATATAAGGTTCAGAACAGACTGAAATGCCGGAAGGTGGACTTTACACTTGCAGTAATGTTGGTCTTAACCCTGGTAAGCATCTTTTGGAGCAATCCAGTAAGCTTAAATGACAGTTAAATGTAGTCTGTTTGGTTATTTTTCTATTTTTTCTCGGTTGGGCTCTGCCTGTGTTCCCTGTCTGGCTCCCTCTTGATGGGTGCAATTCCATGGGCACTGGTTGCCCTCCTATACTGTGCCCAAGTGGCCATTGTTCATGCCTGAGCTTTGGCAGTGAGTGTCGGTAGGCCCACTTACTAGCAGAGAGCATATCAGCCTGACCTCTCTCTCCCTGATCCCGCACAACTGTAAGCTGCAGGTTTATCCACGACCACATCAGGACTGCTCTCTGAACTTCATTCTGAATTATTATATAAACACATTTTTCTTTTGATGCAGGTGGAGAATGAATTGGCAGCTGTATTAGAAGGTTTGTTTCTTAATCAGAATTTTGCTCAAATGTATTTTCAAATTTGGAAATGAGACAAGAGTTTTTTTTAATCCTGGTTTAACTGGAGGACAAAAGTGCATAGTGCAGTATCCCAAGATTTAAAAGAGCAATAATAATATTCCTTGCATTTAATATAGCACCTTATCTCGTCGTTGATACGTCTCAAAACACATCACAGAATATACTGTAAAGTGGATTGACTGTGTATTTTGTGGATGAAACGTAGCAGCCAATTGCACACTGTAGAATAAACTAAGTGAGTCATCAAGCATTGGATTTAAAAACCTGCAAGTAGTAGAGAAAAGGTGAGATCCACACTGTTCAGAGAGTGCACTGAGATTTGACAACAACTGAGCATTCGCAGAGAAGGAAGTATATTATTATTTTATGAAGTTGTCCAAGCAGGCCACCAATCCTGAGAGTTTCTGGTAGTGTTTTGGTGAATACTACATATTTTGGATTTGTAGGTTATTGAATGTTGTAAGTACGTGGAATGCATTGCCCAGGAAGGCTAAACCTGCAGAATCAATTGGGATTCCGCAAAAGGGAGATAGATATTTTGGAGGAGAGGATATATGGAGAAAAGGCAGGGAAACTGAATGAAAAGGTCTAATAAATTGACAAACAGGCTCAAGTGGTTGTACGACCTTCTCCTATTCTCTGTTCTTAAATAGAAACTGCTACTTATGAAAACAATATGATGATTGATGAATAACTCTGTAGTAAACTAAGCGAGCTATTGTTAATCCACTTCTTAGATCTGGATCAGATTTGTTGTGTACAGTCACAGCAAATAACAACTTGTTGAGGCAGGTACCATACTTGAAACACGCAATTACAATAAACTGATAACTCAACCTTGGCTTAACTTGTCACTAGCACATTATGCTGTCAATGTGTTGGCTGCATTTATTTATATATGTGTGCATATGCCTAGCTCGCCGTTCCTGATTACTCGTCACTGAGCCCTTTTCCCTTGAAATGACGAGTTATCAGGAGTTTACTGTATAACAGCCTAGTTGGCATTGGTCAGCTTTTTAATCATTGGACTTAATAAATAGCACTAAGCAGAATACTCAAACAATTCAGCACATGCTAATATAGTTTAAATTTAATATAGTAACAGATAGTCTGGTATTGTGGTGATCAACTTATCAATGAGGTCTGTTCAGAAGGGCTTTGCAATGTACGTACAAAGGGGGAGTGCGGAACTTTAGGGTCTAAATCTGTAAACCAATCTGTCCCATACTCACTTTGCATTGGAAGCACTTCCCCAAACAAAGTAAATCATTATTCATTTTCAGATGATGTGAAGGAAGAAGACATAGGCTTAAATAGGCTGGATGTCATCAGCAGAATAATGGAAATTAATAAACACCTGGGTAAGAATTTTTTTAATAATAATAATCCTTGCATTTGATATAGTGCTTTTTAGGTCTCTAAACGTCTCAAAGCGCTTCACAGAATATACTGTAAAGTGAAATAACTGTATATTGTGGATGAAGCGCAGCAGCCAATTGCGCACAGCAGCGTCTCACAAACAGTCGTGATTGAGTGACCAAATTATTATTGTTTTTTTNCTTGAGGGATTATTATCAGGCATGTGGAGTAAGGAAACTTGCCCAAGGTTTCACTCTGCCGGGAATTGAACTCAGGTCTCTCACTTGCGAGGCGAGTGCTCTAACCACTGAGCTACAGACTCCTTTAAAAAGCTTTTTATGAATCATGAAGTTTAAAGACTAGATGTAGATTGGAACTTAAGCAGAGTGGAATAAGCTTACTAATAAGAGTTGGAACGTGAGACTTTAAATTGAGATATGCATTTAAAAGTTGTGTCTGTTGTTGAGAAGATAACTGACTTCATGCAATGTTAAACTCCATTTGCCATAGTTTGCCTACACACTTAATCCGTCTCGGTCTTTATGTAATTATTATTTCATCAATAAATAACCACTTAGCAGCTTTCTTTCTGTTTTAGTATTTATAGTAGATGTAAATGCGTAGAATCACAGCTTAACATTTTGTTTCTTTTTTTATAGTAAACACCAGTGTTTGGAACCACATTGTAGGTGGGGACATGAAAGTTGGGACTTCCAAAAATGCTCTTGTGTGTTTGAATGGTCCTACAAGTTGCCTATGGCCTCGTTCAAGAGATGGGAATGTTTACATACCTTATGCTTTCACATCAAATTTTGGTAACTGAACATGAATCAATAATCTTTCAAAATCATTTTTGTCTAATTAAATATTAAATTTTTCCTAATTTTCAAATGAGTGATGAAAGTAGAATCTTACTGGTTGGTTGAACTCAGTAAACATATTATCATATTATAAAATTGTTATTATTAGAGAATTATTATTCTTTTGATCACATAGCCTTGCCTAATTTTACTGTCAGGTCAGTAATGGGGGAGACCACATTGTTGGAGGTGCTGTTTTTTGGATGAGGCAATGCCTGAACATTATCCTGTGACAAGTCGAAAAAACATTATCCTGGTCAACTATCCTTCAGATTAGTTATAGCTAATGCTTCGAAAACAGCAGCTTTTCTCTCTCTCCTCTCTGCCTTCCTCCATTTCCATCCATTCCACATGCAAATTACATCCAAATCTACTTTTCCATTTCTACGCTTGATTCCAGGTCCACTCATTCTCTGTCGACTTGCCTGCCAGGCATTGAGGCCTGAATGAGCCTCATTTTCTTGACCTTAACATGGACAAGGGGAAAGCCAGCCTCTTTGACTCCCACCATCTCCTCACGTCTGACTCTGATCATCTTAATCTCTGTGGCTTCTCTCTCAAACTCCCTGAACCAGTGTGTAATCTCGGTGTTTGTTTTGAAGCTCAACTCTCCTTCCTAACTCATAATTGGTCCCTGACCAAGACTGCTTTCTTCACCTCCAACACCTTGCCTGACTCTGCCTCCATCTTCAGTACACAAACTGCAGACTAACCAGAACTCAACAGCCCCGGTCTTTCGTGCATCAGACTCCTACCAAACCCATCCTTGGTCAGCTCCATCAGCTCCCCATCTCCCAGCGGATCAGTTTAAATAAATAGCTGTAAATATGTGCAACTATAATTTAAGTCATATTCTAATGTATAAGCAATATATTTAATATACTTTTAAAACTCAAATTTTAAAAATATCTTTCTGCAGAACAATACCAGCAAGAGGAAATATTTTCTGCTATAGCTGAATTCAGTGTGTTGACTTGCATCAGGTTTAAGTATAGAACATTTGAAGCTGGCTACATTGCGATTTCCTCTCAGAGGGGGTAAGTGAAAAATAGGAAAGCATTGTAAGTTTATGTTTAATTGTAACCATTAATTTAATTGCATTTAAAAGGTCTATTCTAGAATAAGGCTCCAAGGGTAAATTAATGGTCTACTCACATGTTCATGTCCAAAATACATTTTTTAAAAATACTTCTATAAGTGATTTTTAAAAAAAGCAAGTCATTTACTACGAGTTGTTGGCCATCTAATGAAGGCAATCGTGTTTACTACATATCTGAAGCTCAGGACATGCACAGGAGGCAGTTTTCTCCATAATTATTAATGATGCCTTTGCCATTATTTAGAATGATTGCTTAAGAAAGAGTTGCAAATGCTTTAAGTATAAGACACTCAGTGCTAACTTACTGTGGATTTCCAAGTTGCTTTTAACAAAGAGCCATTTGGGACCTCAGAAATTCTTTTGCTTCTACTCAGCTGTCAGTGAGGCTCAGTTGACAGGAATCTTCCCTATGGGTCAGGGAAAGGTTATGGGTTCAAGTCACCACTCCAGTGAAATTCTGGTCGAGTACTATGACGCTGAAAATACTAAACCAAAGTCCCAACTGCCTGTTCAGATCTAAAGATGCTATGGCATTAATTGAAAAGAGAAGGTTTCTCCCAGTAGCCTGACCAGCAATCTCTTAGATAACAATCAGTCATACAATTTGTTGCTGTCACAAATTGTCTGACCCATTCATCTACAAAAAATACATTTACTACAGTTTACTGTAAACCCTATGAAGCACTTTGAGATGTCCTAATGTGAAGGTGCTATATCGGTTGCAATAACTATTATTACTTTGCTACTTAGTTAAGTTTCTTTAGTTAAAACCACTTTCAGCAGTGCGTCTTCCCTGATTCCTTCTTGTGGCATTATAGTGCATTCATCTATTTTATGAGAGGGAAGTAGTTAAGTCTGAAGCAAAAGTCTTCAATTTAAATCGAGGGAACTTTGCTGGTATGAGAGAGGATTTAGCCAGAATAAACTGGGAGACTAAACTTAAAGATTTGACGGTAGACCAGCAATGGCAGACATTCAAGGAGATAGTGCAAAATTCCCAACGAGCACATATTCCTTTGAGGAATAAGAATGCCATGGGACAGGTGGTGCAGCCGTGGCTAACTAGAGCAGTTAGGGAAAGTATCAAATCAAAAGAAAAAGCCCATAAAACAGCGAAGATGAGTAGTAAACCCGAGGATTGGGAGAACTTTAGGGAACAACAGAGGAGGACCAAAAAAGATCAAGGCCCACGGGATTAATGGGAAAATATTAACATGAATAGAAGAGTGGCTATCGGGTAGAAAGCAGAGAGTAGTGATAAACGGATCATTCTCGAATTGGCAGGATGTGACTAGTGGAGTGCCACAAGGATCAGTGCTCGGGCCTCAGCTATTTACCATTTACATCAATGATCTGGACGAGGACATTGAATGTAATGTGTCTAAATTCGCGGATGATACTAAACTCGGTAGCAGAGTGAGCTCTCAGGATGATGCAAAAAGATTGCAACGGGATATAGATAGGCTCGGGGAGTGGGCAAGTAGGTGGCAGATGGAATTCAATGTTAGCAAGTGTGAAATTATTCACCTCGGTAGCAAGAATAAAAGAACAGATTATTTTCTGGAAGGGGAGAAGTTAGATAGTGTTAGTATTCAAAGGGATTTGGGTGTCCTTGTACACCAGTCCCAAAAAGTTAGTTTGCAGGTGCAGCAGCAGCTAGGAAGGCGAACGGCAGTTAGCGTTCATTTCGAAAGGTTTAAAATATAAGAGTAGGGAAGTCTTGCTGCAACTGTATAGGGCTTTGGTGAGACCGCACCGAGAGTATTGTGTGCAGTTTTGGTTTCCTTATTTAAAAAAGGACATACTTGCCCTCGAGGGGGTGCAGCGTAGATTCACTCGGTTAGTTCCTGGGATGAGGGGACTGACCTATGAGGATAGACTGAATAAACTGGGGCTGTATTCTCTGGAGTACAGAAGAATTAGGGGGATCTTATTGAAACATAAGATTCTTAAAGGGCTGATAAAGTAGACACTGGTGGGAGAATCTATAACCAGGGGTCACAGTCTGAAAATTAAGGGTCAGCCTTTTAGAACAGAGTTGAGGAAACATTTCTTCACTCAGAGGGCAGTGAATTTATGGAATTCACTCCCCCAGAAGGCTGTAGATGCTCAGTCCTTGAACATTTTTAAGGCTGAGACTGATAGATTCTTGAAAAATAGAGGAATTAGGGGATATGGGGATAGAGCAGGTAATCAGAGTGAGGTGAGAAGATCAGCCATGATCTTATTGAATGGCGGAGCAGGCATGAAGGGCCGAATGGCTGACTCCTGCTCCTAATTCTTATGTTCTTATGATCTTTCACAGCAATATATCTAGTACTTAAATACCATCCACTTCAGCAACTGTAAGCTACAAGCTTTAATATTTTGATTTTAATGGGTAAAATAATTGGATTATTTAGTTCAATTATTTTCCAATTTAAATATTGCTGTTTAAAACTAACACAAAAGTATTTTTTTTTCTTAGATGCTGGTCATATATAGGTCCATCTGGAGGGATTCAACAGAAGCTATCCTTGGAGAAACCTGATTGTATACAAATCGCTGTAATACAGCATGAGCTGTTACATGCAATTGGTTTTTATCATGAACATAACAGAAGTGACCGTGACCAATATGTAGACATCATAATGGAGAATGTTCAACCAGGTAAGGCGGTTGGAATATTTCACATAGATGGTGGCTATTTCTCATATCATTTTCCTATGCACTAATTTTAAAGTTTTTAAAGGTATTGTATATCAGAGTTACGTGTGCTCAATATGTACAAGACATTTCTTTTGATGTTGCCTTCATCAAAATTGTACAGAATAAGCCATTTAAAATAGCTAATCTATTTCTGTGCATTCCTAAGAAAGCGGAATTAAACATTTATTACCTACACTATGTGATATTGAGATGTAGTATAGAGCACAAAGCTGAATATAAGCATATACTGTTTGAGAAAGCCATAAATTAATAATTAAAGAATTTGAGAAGGAAATGGATAGGTACTTGGGAGCTGAACATGTTAACAAGTATGACAAGATTACCGAGAAATTATATTGGGAAGTAATAGTACATAGAATGGTCGAGAGTGAAATAGTACTGTCGTGGTCTGTACTACAGATTATAGTCTAATAGACTTGGTGAGGCAATTAGCCTTTTCCTGTTGCTGAATTTGTATATAAACTCCCATGCATGGCTTCACGCCATTTCAGATTCTGCCTCTTGGCTGCAAAATGGTATTGCATGGTTTCCCCTCTTTACCATCAGCTGGATTCATTTTTTAAAAAAGTAAAAATTCATTCCAGTTATTAGTTCAATCGATTTAAATCATTGAATTTTATCTTTAATCAAATTACCTAATTTAGCATTGGGATTAAGGTGTGTTTTGGGACCTACCGAATCATATTAATTCCCCAAATCAATAAACTACTATAATGGAGTAGTAGATTATTGATTTGAAACCATAAACTACTGCTCAATTGTACTTCATGTTACAACAATTGTGGAATCCTGTAACTTATTGTTTAGAGCGCTCAAAAGCGAAAAGATCTGGGTTCAATTCCTGGGTAGGGCGAAACGTTGTTCAAGTCCTTCCTCCTTCACACACATGCCTCTGTTTACCTAGCAGTAAGTAGAACCCGGTTGTTAGTTGATTGGTGGGTTGATTTTCCAGTGGTAATGCTTCAAAAAAATAAAATGAAGTCACTGAATCCACTGACTATTTGTGTGCAATTCCCTGCCACGTTTCACCCACAAAATATACAGTCAATTCACTTTACAGTATATTCTGTGAAGCGCTTTGAGATGTCTTGAAGACTTGATCAGCCTCTATATCAAATGGAAAGATTATTATTATTACTGTTCCATCATCTATTTTGAAGCAAGGTTTATGAATTTTTTCTTTATGCTTAAAATGTTTCTTTCCAGCTGGGTGGGTCTTAAAGCAAAATGAAAGCATTGTGTGTCTGATTGAGAAACAAAATGGTTCAGAGACAGCGTCTTGGGTGAGGGGCGCTATATAAATGCAAGTTGTTGTTGGATGCATACAATTTACATCCACAAGTGAACAAGATTCAAAATCACAGCAGATTATGGTCATTGCAACAAAAGAAAGATCAATCGTATCTTCAGGATTCTCATCATAATCTGAAGGTGCTACATCGAATGCAACAATTATTTCTGTATTTATTCCACATATTACAAAAAATGAAATAAATTGCTAAACAAATGATGTCATTAATACTAGTAAAGTCAATTTAGCACAATTCTCCATTGTGCTGTGCTGCCTGTTTTGATTTGCTGCCTGTCATGATATTACTCTCATGAAATTATGTTTTTTTTGTGGTAATGATTTCATTATTTGAAACAGACAGAACACTAATCTTTTATTCAGTAACATTTAAATATTTCTTACTTCTGATGTGTTTTCTTTGCAGGTTTTGAAGATAATTTTGTGAAAGTTATTACCAATAATCTGAATACAAAATATGATTACAGTTCAGTGATGCACTATGGAAAGCAAGTACATTTATTATTTGCACTACCATAATAAAAGCGCTATTACCCTCAATGGTTACAATAACTTTGATGAGAATTTAATGTTTTTATGTAAAGAACTAAATGTACAATATATGGAATGTCTTTTCTTAGATAACAATGTTCTGTTGAGGAAAGACATAAAATATCAGATTCTAAAAGATGGAATATTTTGTAGTACTGAAACCTATTTTGAACTTGCATAGCCTACACCCCAATGCAGTGCTGGATGTGTTACTGGATGAGCCATTAAACCGAGGTCTCATTTGTCTGTTCAGGTGGATGTTAAAGACTCCATAGCATTATTCAAAAAGAGAAGGGAATTTTTCTCGGTGTCCTGGCTAACAATCCCCCAAATAAAATTAGTTATTCATTTCATGGCTGTTTGTGGGATATTGCTGGGTACAATTGGCTGCTGCGTTCACCAACAAATACACCGTCACTTCACTTCATAATAAATTCTGTGAAGCATTTTGGGACGTCCTGCTGCCATGCAACTATTATTCTTCTTATTATATTATTGTGTTTTGATTCCAGGTACCTTTTTTCCAAAAGCCCTAAATTACCCACGATTATACCAAAACCAAATCCAAACACGAAAATTGGACAACTTGATGGATTCAGTGAAACGGATATTTTAAAGGTAAACCGGTTGTATAAGTGTGGTAAGTATTTTGTTCAGAATATTTTTTCACATTGTAGTAGAATTTTTGTACCTCTTGAAAAAGGTATTTGAACAATCCTGTTATGATTGAGTAGCAAAAGCATTTATAATTTTAACAATCAGCACAGGCAAATAGGGCTGAATATTTGAATAGGTCTAAATCATGTGGGAATGGAATGAGAATTTGGCCTTTTTTTGATTTTTCAAATTCACCTAAAAATTAAAATTATTTGACTCATCTCACTTTTGTTTGTGGTACTTTGATGGTGCAAATTGGGTTATGATGTTGAGCAGATGATAAATAATAATTTAAATTTAGCATAGAATGTTATATAGGAAAATGAGTTTTAAAATAGCTAAACATTGTAAGATAAGTTATTTGTAGTTTCTATTTAATATTGTGCACAATTGGCTGCTGCATTTTGCCCACAAAATATACAATCAATTCACTTTACAGTATATTCTGTGAAGCGCTTTGAAACGTCTCGAAGATGTAATAGGGCGCTATATCCAATGCAAGGATTATTATTCTTGTATTTTCCATTAAAAGAAAAGATCCAAAAGCAATGGGAAAAGTGCACTGAGATTTACTAGAATTTTACCAGGGGTGAAGCTTTTCAGTTATGAAGAGAGATTTGAAGCTAGACAATTTTCACTGGATCTGAGAAAGTTAAACATGCCTTGATCAAAAGATTACTGGAGATTACTTTCACAATCAGTATGGAGAAGATATAGATTTGAGATAATCAGAAAAAGAATTGTTGAAGCAGAGTATCTTCATCTATTATAAAAATAATCAGAGTTGTTAAAAAAGAGAAACGCTAACGATTAGGGAAACCAGCAAGAGAGTGGGACTAATTATGATTAGATTAGATGTTTCATGTAGAAAATTACCCCACCAGATTTGGTAGACCAAGTGGTCTGTTTCTGTGTAAAGGGTGTCAAAAAGGAACTTCACAAACTAATGGAAATTAGATGATGAGGTAATCCAATTCATAGGAATCCTTTGGAAAATGAATATCTGGATGGATCAATGGTCTTGTGCTGCCTGAAACTGTTGAACTGTGATAATCACATTTGAACATGTTTTTATAACAATAATATCCTTCTTGAATTTTCCAGAGGTTTGTGGAAATCTGTTTGTTGGTAATCATGGAAGTTTTACATCTCCAAATTACCCAGGTTCTTATCCAAATCATGCTGACTGTAAGTGGATGATCAGGGCACCTCAAAACCAAAAGGTACATTCTAACTACGTAAGAGTTTTCACGGGGTTGATTTTTTTTATCCAAAATTATCAAAAAGATGTTAATTTGTTCATTGATCTCATTGCTGCCAGTGTCCTTCCGTGTGCCAAACTCTACACCCACTTCAGCCCAGTTACCAAGCTCCACTACCTACCTGTCTCCTAATGGATCTGACCTATAAATCAAATCATGTCCTCACCACTCCCTATCGCTTTTCTCCCCCCAGTCCTCTGGTCAAGCCATTCACTCGGATAAGATGCCAAGAATCCTCCACCCCACCTTCAGTGACTGAGACCTCAGCTCCTAAACTGTGAAGCATCCAACTGTATTGCCTGTATCCTGGCCTCAACTTCTCTTCCCACTTATCCGATCCTCTGGAAAACAAATCTAAATTGCCTTTTGCAGCCCTAAACCTGTGGAGCAGATATGATAAAAAAAAACATTTTGAGAAGATATAATGAAGTAATTGAACTGAGGGTTTCTGAAATTATTGATTTGTGGAAAATGCATCGGCCTACATTTTTTATTTAGTTTCTGCGGTTATATTGTATATATCAACAGTGCAGTTCAGGATCAGGATGTGTCATTGACTTCCTCTTTAAAATTAATTTGAGTGATCAGGTACAATTTTTTCCCCCAGTTTGACACAATGTCATTGTGCTTTATTGGGTCCTTTTGTTCCCAGGAGTCAGGAATAATTCTTAGAGGACAAGAGAGAAAATAAACATTTGAAACCTGAACATTTTCTCTACAAAAAATAGTATTGTGGTTGTACAATAATACAGTGTTCTGGATTATGATTCCCTGCACCACATTTACCATTTGATTGTGTGATCTCATTTTTTTCAGGTTCTCTTGGAATTTGATTTCTTTCATATTCAACCATTTGTAGGATGCTTTCATGATCAACTAATAATTTTTGATGGTCCCAGTACTGCTTCACAAATTATTAAAGGACCAACTTGTGGCACAGTGGCTCCAGCAGTCATCTCATCTTACCAAAAGTTATTGATTCACTTTTTAGCATATTACAACCAAGGAAAAAAGGGTTTCAGTGCTAAATATCAATTTGGTAATGCTTTATATATTTTATAAACATTTATTCAGAATTATACATTGATATAATATTCCCATACATTTCAGCAGGTTAACACTTTATTTTAACCATTTATTTTCTAGTTAAATGTGGCAAAATGGTGTACATTCCATTCGCCCGTTTTACAGGTAGAATTGAATATAAAAGGAGGATTCAAACTAAAGATACGTGTTTCTGGATCATCCAACAAAATAGAAAATTTAAGGTATGCATGAGGGACATAAAATCATGATTTAAACACAGCCCAGAAATTGTTGATTATACTATTGAAAATATTATTCAGATCATAAGAAGCACATCAGGATGGTTCCATCAAACAAAATTAAAAATTGGATTAGGTATTATTTAATCATGTTCATTTGTATGAGGACATCTGTTTTTAAAACAAGTAATGTCTCATTTCTACATCATTAAATGTGCATTTAATGCAATGTATCACTGAAAACAGAATTTACTGAAAACCACTAATTCAGCCCCATAGTGTTTCACATTTTGTCATAATAAGTATTATTGTCCCTTATTTGTACAACTAATCAGGACGTTCACAAGCATTTCCTGATGTCTGCTCTCCAAGTTCCAATGTGGGAAGAGTCGGGGCTTAGAGCCTTTATTGCAGTCTGTCAGGAAGGCAAACGCGTCTCTTACAACCGTGTCCTTAGCAACCTATGGTTGGGAGAGAGATTGGGGGAGGGGAGAGGGGGAGAGAGAGAGGGGGGGGGGAAGGCAGGAGTGGGAGGGGAGAGATAGAGAGAGGTAGGGAGGGGGGAGCGAGATTGGGAGAGAGGGGAGAGAGATTGGGAGATAGAGAGCTAGAGGGGTTCGGAGAGAGGAGGTGGAGAGAGGGGCGAGAGGGAAAGAGAAGGGGGGAGAAAGAGTGGGGAGGCTGGACAGAGAGGGGGATGCTCTCTCTCCCCCCTCTCGCTCAGGCGCTCACTCTCTCAATTACTGTCTCTCACTCCCCTTCTCACACCCTCTCACACTCCACCTCCCCCTTTCAATCACTCTCTCACCCCTCTTCTCACACACGCTCTCTCCCACACACACTCTCTATCCCCTCTCAAACTCTCTCAGTCACCCTCTCAATCTCACTCTCAATCGCCCCTCTTTGTTTCTTTCTCTCCCCCTCTCACATTCACTCCCTCCCACCTCACACTATTTCTCAGCCTCTCACACTCTCTTCCCCATCTCACTCTCTATATCAATCTCTCTCTGCTTTCCCTCTCTCAATCACTCTCTCAGTCTCCCTCACTCCCCCTTTTTTACCTCTCACACACATACACTCTCTCCCCCCCCCCCACTCTCTCTCTCTCTCTCTCGTCCTCTATCTCCCCCCCTCTTTCTCTCCGCCTCCTCTATCCTTCCCACCCCCCAACACCCTCCTTTCTCTCCCCTCTTCCTCTGTCTAAATCCCACTCTCTCCCAAGCGTGTGTCACTATCTGCAGTGACAGGAGCCGGCGGCTGCTAAGGACGCGGTTGGTAAGAGACGGGTTTGCCTTCCTGACAGACTGCAGTAAAGCCTCTGGGCCCCGAGTCTTTGCAACCGCCGGCTCCTGCTGCTGCCCTGGGGGTGTTTACCAGGGAGGGAGGGAGGAAGGGAGTGGAACTTGGAAATGGTGGAAATAGTCACAGGCCGCATCAGCTGCCGGGCCGCTGGCAGCCCATGTGCCGCCTGTTGGACTACGATAATGTAGACCATGAAAAACTGTTGTATTGAACAGTAGAACAAGAGAACACGGCCTGCGATTGAAGGGGGTAAATTCAGAACAAATCTGCGGAAACACTACTACAGTGAGCGAGTTATAAACTTATGGAACAGGCTCCCAAGGGAGACGGTGGAATCAAAAAATTCTGGCGGTGTCTCCTGAGTCCAGTGGCTTCAAAGGATGGTTCCTCTGTTAATGAGAAAACAGCCAGCCTGGGTCGTCAGCAGGACTAGAAGGACCAGAACAATTAGTGGGGCAGATGTTCTTCACTTGGCTCCATTTTTCAAAATTAACATACTTTCAGGTTTGAGTAGCTACCAATCAGGTTTGAAGAAACAAAATGCAAGAATTATTATTAAAGCACTCTTCCCCGCTAAATGCAAAGGAGCCACTGTAGGATGTATGTGGCTCCTCTTTGTTGGTGAGAGCCTAGAAATGAAGATGTATCCTTAGTAATATAGGAAAGTGAGGTTTCTCTCTACCATAAACTACCTTAATATCTAGAGTAGTGCTGTGACATAACTTTGTCATCCATCTTTGTAAATTGCTTTGAGATGTCTTCCCAACGTAAAAGATGCTATAAAGATAAAAGATAAGTATAAATTGTAAGCTTATTATTTATTTGGATAACTGACATAGCTTTTTTTTACATCGACGACAAAAACTATTCCCCTAGACTTTCCTTCACGTTTAACTTAATTTCAGTTGACCATTGATGCTGTTCTCCGCAGTGAGAAGGTTGACTCGATTCTGCCACTCCACTTTGAGTCAAGTTGTACGACGCAATGATATATGGTTCAATATTGATGCCTTACTGGAAGAAAGCATGAAAATATGTACAAAGTGGATCACAAAGTACTTTTTTTTTATTTTTCATAGATTCATAGAATGTTACGGCACAGAAGGAGGCCATTCGGCCCATCGAGTCTGTGCGGCTCTTTGACAGAGCGTCACTCTCACTAACCCCAGTCACCAGCTTTCTCCCCATAACCCTGCAAACCCGTCTTCCCCAGATACCTGTCCAGTTCTCTCTTAAAAGCTGTTAACGAATCGGACTTCACTACACTTTCAGGCAGATCATATTTTATATGATATATCATATCATACTTTCCTGCATATCAGCTGATTAAAGAGCAGAATTGTTTAGAATTTGGGAATAGGGCAACTATCCACAACAACACAATAACAACTTGCACTTATGTAGTGCCCTCCACGCAGGGTAGCGTCTCAGAGCGCTTAACAGTGGCGGAGCCTGATTCTGAGCTGCTGGGGGTGGGGAGCTCACCATCAACTCAGTCGAAAAGGAAGGTTTTAGGCAGGACCTGAAAAAGGGGAGAGGGGGGGCAAGAAGGAGGGATTGAGCAGTTTTGGGGTCTAGTGGCTGAAAGTACGAGGGTGCGAGGGATCAGCAGGAGGCCGGTGCCAGTCGAGCGGAGGTGGTGGATTGGGGAGTGAGGAGATTGGAGAGGTGTGGAGGTGCCAGGGAGTGAAGGGATTTGAACACGAGATTGAGGATCTTGAAATCAATCTGTTTGGTGATGGGGAGCCAGTGGAGCCTGGGCCAGAACTGGTGAGATGTGGGCACCGAGTTTGGTCGGGGTCAGTATGTGAGCGGCAGAGTGAGTGGATCTTGTGAATAGTGGAACTGGGGAGACTGGTGAGGAGTGCGTTGGAGTAATCCAAGAGGGAGGTGACAAACGAATGTGCAAAGGTTTCGGCTGCATTTGTGGTAGGGTACGGTCGGAGGCGGGCAATGTGGTGGAGGTGGAGGAAAGTGGTCCTGGTCAGGGATTGGATGTGTGGAAGGAAGGACAGCTGGGGGTTGAACCAGACGCTAAGGTTGCACACTGGTTTGGTGAGTCTGAGGGAGAGTCCAGGGTGATTGAGGAGTTTAGATCCACAGGAGTGAAGTCATTGACAGGAGCCAAGGAGTATGGCTTCCATCTTGTCCACATTCAGCAGCAGGAAGTTTGCACTCATCCAGGCCCTACTGTCTGCCAGACCTGGAGTTGATACTAGAGGAGGCAAAGTGTGTCATCCACATACATTGTGGAAGTTTACCCCATATCTGCAGATGACATTGCCCAGAGAGAGGATAACGATGAGGAAACGAAGAGGCCAAGGATGGAGCCCTGGGGCACCCCCAGGTGACCGGTTGGGGTCAGGAGGAGAAACCATTTGCCAAGATGAAGTGGAGGCGGTTGGTTAAGTAGGACTTGAACCATTTGAGCGCTGTCCCACTAAGGTGTGATAAGGGAGGAGGATGGCGTGGTCGACTGTGTCAAATCGGCAGAGAGATCCAGGAGGACGAGACGGCAGAGGGAGCTCTTGTCACAGATGGTGGGATGTTGTTTGTATCCATCCTCAAAGCAGCAGGAACTGTTCTGGAAATGTCTAAAATAAAACACGTGAAAGTGCATGCCATTTCTGGAAGCAGAAATACCAATATAACTTCTTGTTTTCTGGTCCTTTACATATTTTGCACATTCACTTTTGTATTGCATAAAAATGTCAAACATTAATATTGCTATGCTTTTACAGATAGTGCTGAACATTACATTCAGTCTTCAAAGTTCTGATTGTGGAGAGGGATACTTGAGCGTTCGAGATGTCTCTAAAGCACCTCCAGTCAACAAAGGGAAATTCTGTGGAGAAAATGCTGTGGTTGAGGGATCCACACTTTTAATAGAATTAAACAGCCCTTGGAAAACGAAATCGTTTGGAATTGATTATAAATGTTTATTTAGAGGTAAGTTAACAAAAATCAAAATGAATTCATCATCTTTCCTCAGTTAGCAAAGTAAACTTCAACCGAATGCAGTTGACATCAGTTCGGTTTGGATACTCTTAAGCAGGTGTTGGGATTCCGCATATGTCAGACACCCGGCTGACCAAAAAAAAATAGGAATTGCTATCATCACAAGGGAAAATCACTGGAGACAGAAGCATTGCTCTCTGAACAGTCAAATGAGCTTTCCCTACTTTCACAAGATAAAAAGAGATGAAGAAAATCCTTCAGGCCATTTGACTGCGTCCTTCCTGAATACGCTCTCCACCATCCTACCATTACAGCATGAAGCCATTTCTTAAACAAGTCCAGTGACTTGCCTTCATCCACCTTCCTGATATTAATGGAGTCCTGTAGCTCAGTGGTTAGAGCACTTTCCTCACAAACATGAGTTTGATTCCTGGCAAACGTGGGGCAGGTTTCCTTACTCCATGTCTCTGTTTACCTAGCAGTAAGTAGGAACCCGGTTAGTCGATTGGCGAATCGTTTTTCCGGGGGTAATAATTCCTTACAAAATAATAATAATACATTGGTCACTTAATCCATGACTGTTTGTGGGATACTGCTGTGTGCAATTGACAGCCGTGTTTTGCCCACAAAATATACGATCAATTCAATTTACAGTGTATCCTGTGAAGTGCTTTGAGATACGTAGAAGGTGGGGAAAGCGCGATATCAAATACAAGAATTATTATATTATTATAAACCATTAATTATCCTCTATGAAATAAATACTTTATGTTGTCTCTTGCTTGTCCTCAGGCCTACCCCAACCACACAACAGTGATTCTTGCTTTTTACCCTTATTAAAATACCTAATTCTGATCTAGGGCATGAAGCAGGACTCACTGGAAATGGTACTTGGATATTCCTTTTGCAGAGTCTGATAAAGTCAAGACTGTTACAGTAGGATGCCTTTCATAGGTCAACAATCAAGGCCTACCACGATGTCTTACCTGTTATGAATCTAGTACAGTAATTTAAAATTGTCAGATGGAAGCCTCCTCATTGGCCTTCCCAACTCTTCCCTTCACAAGCTGCAGATCATCCAAAACTCTGCAGCTCGTATACTCTCACACACCAGGCTCCGTGTCCCCATCACTCCCACCCTCGCCCGACCCCATCACCCCCACCCTCGCCCGACTCCACTGGCTCCCCATCCCCCAGAGGATCGAATTCAAGATCCTCGTCCTCACCTTTAAGGCCATCCATGGCTTTGCCCCCTCCTACCTCTCTGACCTGCTGACTCCCTACCAACCTGCCCGCTCCCTCCGTTCAGCGGGCTCTGACCTGCTCCATGTCTCCCGCCCGACCCGCCCTACCATCGGTGGCCGGGCTTTCAGCCTCTCTGCCCCCACACTCTAGAACTCCATCCCACGGTCCCTTTGCCTCGCTTCCTCCCTCGCCTCCTTCAAGGCCGGTGTCAAGATCCTCTTTGATCGTGCCTTCGGTCGCTCTCCCACCTCTCTGCCTTCTTTCACCCGTATCCCACCCCTCCCCCATGCTCGGCTCCTGATCACAGACGGTCCAGCGCCTTGGGACGTCCTCCCGACGTGAAAGGCGCTCTATAAATGTAATTTTGTTGTTGTGTGTCTAATTCCCAAATCTGCAAAGGATTAGCAAGATCAAAATAAAAATTTGGCGATATGATATTCTTTAATAATAATAATCCTTGCCTTTGATATATAACCTTATCACATCTTCGAGGTGACTCAAAGTGCTTCACAGAATATTCTGTGAAATGAATTGACTGTGCATTTTCTGGGCGAAACGCGGTGGAATTGCCGACAGCAGTGTCCCACAAACTCTCGTCGATTGAGTGGCCAATTTTTTTAAAAAAGGATTAGGAAAAGTGATCCACCACTCAACTAACAACCGGGTTCCTACTTACTGCTAGGTAATAATAATAATAATAATAATAATCCTTGCATTTGATATAGTGCTTTTCACGTCTTCTCGACGTTCCAAAGCGCTTCACAGAACACACTGTAAAGTGAATTGACTGTATATTTGTGGGCGAACGCGGCAGCCAATTGCGCACAGCAATGTCCCACAAAAGTCGTAGATTGAAAATGACCAATTTATTATTGTTTTTGGTTTTGGAGGGATTATTATTAGGCTCTGTGTGGAGTAAGGAAACTTGCCCAAGGTTTCGCCCTCTGCCTGGGATTGAACTCATGTCTTTCACTTACAAAGGGAGTGCTCTAACCACTGAGCTACAGG